TTTATGGAATTTCACCATGTTGTGGCTTGATGTGGGCCTCTTTTTCTTTCATTTCTTTCATCATGGGGGGCATACGATGGGCTCTTTTAATTTGGAAAGTCATGTTCTTCAACTATTTGCACCACTCTCTTATCTGGACTCCTTTTGTTCACATGTTGGACCTCCTGGGCTTGTCTTCTAGTCTCCTAATCCTTTTCATCTCTTTACCTTTTCATTCTAATTCCTGAGAGATTTTCTCAACTTTATCTTCCAACTGTTCTTGAGTCATTTAAAATATCTACTATTGTATTTTTAATTTTCAAAAGTTCTTTAAGTTCTTTATTCCTTTTTTATAGCATCTGTTCTTGTTTTCTGGTTGCAAAGTCTCTTATTTCTTGGGAGTAGTTGATGGTAATTTTTGAGATGTTTCCTTCTATTCTCTGCTTTGTCTCTGTTTCATTTGAGTTCCTTTTTCTTTTCCCATTTGTACTTTTGACCTCTGGCTTTCGTGTCGGAGGCTTTTGTTAAATGTCTAGTCAGTCTTGGGTGTTTGTTCAAAGTAGGAGTGAAGTGAGTAATATGAGCAAGATGCTGATTGTAATCAGGCAGGGTCGTTGGCCACAGGCTTTCTTGATCAGAGAGAACCAACCTTTCAGTGGCAGACCAGTATTAGTGTTTTGTTTTGGTCAGGGTTAATTTCTCCAGAGATGAATCTTATAGTCCCTGAGGGATGGGTGCGTGGAGAATGAATGACAGGTCATAAGCCCAGGTGCCTGAAAGGATGGTGAGCAGGGATTCTCCATATATGACTTTAGGCTCATTAGAAAATGATGCTCCTCTTATGCGTGAAATCTAAAAAAGCTGTGAACTCATAAAAACAGAGTGGAATCGTGGTTACCAGGGGCTGGGTGGTAGGAAGAATAAGAGAGATGTTGTTTAAAGGTACAAACTTGCAACCAGTAGATAAAAAAGGCCTGGAGAGCTAAGGCATAGTATAGTGAGTATAGAAAATAATATTGTATTACAAACATCAAACTTGCTAAAGACAAGGCTTTTTTTTTTTTTGCAGTATGCAGGCCTCTCACTGGTGTGGCCTCTCCCGTTGCGGAGCACAGGCTCCGGACGCACAGGCTCAGCGGCCATGGCTCACGGGCCCAGCCGCTCTGCGGCATGTGGGATCTTCCCGGACCGGGGCACGAACCCGCGTCCCCTGCATCGGCAGGCAGACTCTCAACCACTGCGCCACCAGGGAAGCCCAAGGCTTTTTTTTTTCTTATAGAAGTATCGTCGATTTACAATGTTGTGTTAGTTGCTGATGTACAGCCAAGTGATTCATATATATATACACACATGTACACATACATATATGAATATATATTCTTTTTCATATTCTTTTCCATTATGGTTTATTACAAGGCATTGAATAAGTTCCCTGTGCTATACAGCAAGTCCTTGTTGTATATCTATTTGATATATAATATTTTATATCTGCTAATCCCAAACTCCTAATTTATCCCTCCCCCACCCCTTTTAACCTTTGGTCACCATAGGTTTGTTTTGTATGTCTGTGAGTCTGTTTCTGTTTCATAAATAAGTTCATTTGTGTTATTTTTTTAGATTCCACATGTAAGTGATATATAATATTTGTCTTTCTCTGTCTGACTTACTTCACTTGGTATGATAATCTCTAGGTCCATCCATGTTCCTGCAGATGGCATTATTTCATTCTTTTTTATGGCTGAGTAGTAGTCCGTTGTGTATATGTACCGTATCTTCTTTATCCATTCCTCTGTCAGTTGACACTTAGGTTGCTTCTATGTCTCAGCTATTGTGAATAGTGCTGCTATGAACATCGGTGTGCTGATTCCTTTTTTTTTTTTTACAAAGTTAGCATAAATTAAGCCAACAGTATACTCTTTAGACATACCTGGATATGTGAGAAACTCTGTACAGTGGAAGTAAAGGAATGCTAAACCAAGATTCTAGAGGATTGGAGGGGGGGGGCAGAGAGGTGGGAGGGGGACACATGGGTGTGGTTGGAAGTTACTGTCATTTTGCCTGTTCTCCAGCTGGGTGAGGGTCTTTATCATGGATTTAAGATGATGACTTAGCCCGTGTTGCCTCCCAGTTATGGTTGTAAAAGGCAGAATTGTTTCCTGGTTGGACCAACAGTTGGAAGAAAAGAAAATAGTAAACTAACCCAAGGGTCCCTCCACAGGATACTGGCAGAGAGAGAGACAGGAAGAGATTGAGAGAGACTGAGAGAAAGAGAGATCTAGAGAAAGGAACTAAAACCCCTGCTGGTAAAAGGCCAGGAGACTCAGTGGTCCCACTTCCCCTTCACAGGGCTGTCTGTGCAGTTGGTCGCAAACTTTTTATATTTGATCTCTCGTTTGACTCTCAAAGGGGATAATGATGAAGTGTGAAAAGGGAATAGTTCTGGTGAAAAACGTAGAGAGGAGAGGACAGAGACAGTGAAGAGGTGGGATCTGCAGGATTTGATCATTATAAATTCTGTTTACTAATTTAATGTGAGAAATTCCCTTAGAGAAGATCGTGCTGTATCAATAAATACCTGGGTGATTATAAATGCTAGCTTTATTGTAACATTGGTTTGTAACTCCACTTTTTGTTTTCTGCCTGCTTTAAGAGACCAATACAAAAAGACAACATGCGTTGGGAAGGATGTAGACAAACCGGAACCCTTGTACGCTGTGGTGGGAACACAAAATGGTGTAGCCACTATGGAAAACAGTATGGAAGTTCCTCAAAAAATTAAATATAGAACTACCATGTACGGCACAGGGAATATAGCCAGTATTTTATAATAACTTTAAATGGAGTATAACCTATACAATTTTTGAATCACTATGTTGTATACCTGAAGCTAATACAATATTGTAAATCAACTGTATGTCAATTTTAAATAATGATTGGGAAATAAATAAATAATAAAAAATTAGGGCAAGGGGAAAAAACCATAAGGAAGATACAAACCTAATATAGTAGTACTACTTAAGGCAAAATGTTTGGGTAATTACAGGTCAATGAAAACAACAATAATAACACCTAACATTTATCGGCTGGCCAAAATGTTTGTTCGGGTTTTCTGTAACATCTTATGGAAAAACCCAGGTGAACTTGTTGGCCAACCCAATAGTAATTTCTTTTCTTCCTTGTTTGCCACAGTGTTAATGAAGTAAGCGTTTGTCTTCACATGACGCCTCTTCCCAGAATTTCCTAGGTTTTCATTTGGGCACGTGACCCTCTCCCGTAGGTTGTATAATTCAGGGAAAGTAGACCAGTCACCTCATCGACCGCCCACCTTGACAAAGGGATTGACCCGTAACCCTGAGGAAGCCAGTGCTACTCCGGTTGGTACAGGAATAGTCCCGTGATCCAATTTTGGCCAATGAAATAGGAAGGGAGGTTTCTGAGGGCTCCTGGGAAAGATGCTTCCTTGCTTATCTGAGAGATCTGCCGGATGGGCAGGCCCTCTCATTTTGGATGCGGTGGAGTCTGGATGTGAGGCTGGCTAGGCGTGCAGCCATTTTGCCACCAAGAGGGAAGCCAGCCCTAGGAGGAAGTGACTCACAGAGGCAGGGCCTGATTGAGCCAGGGAGTCAGACGTGCCCTGAACCCTGCCCCTTGTCCTGTCTCTGCAGTTCCGTTTAGTAGCAAGTTCCCTTTACTGTTCAGGCCACTGTGAGTTGCGTTTCAACCAAACTTTTGGTTTTCAACCAGAAGCACCCCAATTAGTTTGCTTTTATTTCACTTTTGTTTCACTTGCAGACAGAAACACAGCTCACCTTGGCTTCAGGCACAGAGGCTGGAGTTCAGGTTGCTAGGGTGACACAGCCAGGAGTCCTCAGCTCTGCTCTCCTCACGTCCAGACAGACCCTGGCCACCTCATGGCCTTTGGAGCTTTGGGTGCATGTCTCACAGCTCAGCAGCCAGGCTGGAAGAGAGGGACTCTGCTTGGCTTCAAGCCTGGCCCAGGTCACCCTCATTGGCCCAGCTGGCCATTGCCATTGCCTTTCCTTGAAGTGGCCCCTGGGGCGGGTCACCAACCAGAACCGCGTGGGTGGGGGAGGGAGTGGGAGGCTGCTAAAGACAAAAGGAGGTGATGTGGCCCAGAAAAGGGGAAATGCGTGTCAGACTGACAGAGCACTGGGCACCCATCATTGGCTTCTTCCTGAGTCTCTGGGTCACTGCAGTGAGTGAAGGATGTCTCAGAAGAGCACCTGGGAAGCCAGGTCAGGCATTTCTGCCTTGAGTGGGAGCACTTAAACACTACCTGTTAAGTTCCCTCCTCCTTCCTCTGGCCGTGACTTTGATCTGAAGTGGGCAATAGCTTGGCTTTTTGGGCAGAGACTTGCTGATTGATTCCAAAAGGAAATGTTATGCATGCAAGGGACCAATGTCTGTGTAGAGAGACTAGGGGTCATGGGTGCTCATTCCTCTCGGCCTCGGGAGGGACTGCAATTTCGGAGGAAATCAGGCCTATTTTCTAACGGAAGCCATTCTGACTGTGTCATGAGATCTCAGAACCGGCGCTGTTTTCGGGGTGCCGCCCTGCAGTCCTCTGCCCCCTTCTCTCCCTGCCAGGGAGCTGAGATTCTCCTGTGACCTCCTGTTAGTGTGGGTATGTTTTTATTTTTATTTACTTCGTTGCACTGAGCTTCGATAGCATCTCTTTTCTTTCTAAGTTCCCTTCTGTCCATGCTCTACCTTACAGTCACATCCAGGCTACAGCATTTATACCCTGTTCTCCCTCCATGAATAAGGCTTTGCAGGTGGGTTGATTCCGGGAGCTGAGATTGCTTCTTACGTGGTTATGACCGTGACAAAAAGTGACTGCAGGGCCCCTGATTACTTGCCCTTCTCTTCCCAGGGACGGCTCTATGGACCACGTGCAAACCTCTGTTTCTTTTGACACTATTTATGGACTTACTGTGGGAACTCAGACATCACGGGAGACCCCTCAGGCCCCCAGGGTCTCTCCTATGCCTTCCTGGCAGCTGTGGGAGAGTGTTGACCTCCTCTTTGCCCTCTTTGCCCAGGCCTTGAAGTCCAGGTCATCATGGGCCCCTGAGGGAATCTCCATGGCCATCTTCCCATTTACCTGTAAATGGACAGGTAGGTGGACAGGTAGCTCTCAAGGTCTAGGAGGGAACCCTGGCTCCTGTGCATGTTAGACTCACCGAGGGTGCCTCCTACACACCCAGTGAAAGGGTTTGTTGTTGAAGATGATGGATTTGCCCTCTAGATCTTCTCCTGAAGAATTTGTGGACCATAATGTTCCACCAAAGACATCCTTTGGGTTACCAAAGGTGTCACTACAATTGGAAACAAGGAGCCCCATAAGTCAGCAGACTCCACCATCCCATGGTCAGAGCATGGTCTTGGGAGCCAGTCAAGGCCTGGTTGTACCTGTAGCCTAGACGGCTGGGCATCCTCCAAGACCCTGAGCTGTCAGCCGCAAACCCATTACTGCTTTCTTAGCTGACCTCTCAGGTGCCACCCCCATCTCAGCACCTCCCACATGCTGCCTAAAAAGTAACCCCCCTTGTTTGAAGCTTCAAGTCTCATTTCTAAACCAGTCACTGTCCTGGAGGTTGAGATCCCCGTGGTGACCTGGACCAATCAGGAGCTGCCCCCTTGGGCTGAGCTGATGCAGCATCCCCAGGATCCTGGGCAGGGGAGGAAGAGCCCCAGCAGTAGCTGCCGCATGTACCTTTACCTAGTGAGAGACATGCCTGAGTTTGGTGACAGTTCGTGTTTTTGTCTCGGGAGATTGTATCTGCTCCTATGCCCCGCTCACTCAGCCCCATTTCCCCCTTCGCTTCCTTCCTGCTCACCCTTCCACCCCTTTGCTCCTGCCCTCCCCGCCCCACTGCCTCCCTCCCTCCCTCCTGGGACTTCCTCTCTCTGCCCACAGACACCCCACTCCTCAGCGGATCCTGCAGAGCAACTAGGTTCTCATTGCTCTGCCTTCTGTCGGGTCCTCCTGATGGAACCAGGCAAAGGTAATTGCTAAACCAAAGGCTCTCCATTCCAGAAAACAACCAGGCCATCCCTGGGAGGCGGCACCCATCCAGCCACTTGAGGTCTAATGATGACATGTGCACTTTGTACGGGACCCCTCTTCCTCCTGTTCTGTCTTCCACGCTGGACTCCAAGCCCTTTGAAGGTAGGAGCCAGCCAGGCTTGTATTGAATTCCTAGTGTTTAGCTGGTGTAGGCGCTTAATGAAAGCTCAAGGAAGGAAGGGGAGAAAAAGGATGGAGAGGGAAACTCCCTTCCTATGGTCACTCGGTCACCCAGTGGAGGCCCAGGATGCAGGGGTGGGGTCTGGAACTGCCTCCTTCAGGGATTCCTGTGAGGTTTTTGTCTCTGGGGAGGGATCTTTCCTTCCCCTTGAACCCTTTTCTCTCCGTCTTCAGAGCCTTTCTTCCTGAGAACTTTGTAGACTTTGCCCATCAGCCAAGATACCTCTCGCCAGTTGAGGGAACGTCACAGCTAGAATTAAACCTCAGCACTTAGAAACGACCCCCTTTGCATCTTCTCAGGCACCCGCTGGCTCAGGGCCTGCAGCCTTTGACAGTTACCGCAAGATGACTCAACAGTTTCTCTTTCATTCACCGTCTACTCATCCAGGTTGTGCGTGGTGTTCTCAGGGTGGTGTCAAGGTTTGGGGCATCGGAGGTCGAGTTGTGATCGCAGTGTTTGCTAGAAGGCAGATGGGCTCTGTGCGCACTGCCTCTGGGGAGCCATGAATGCTTGTAGCGGGGCGCACCTCACTTTTTAATGGAGATGGAGCATTTTTGATTCTTGCTGATTTCAAAGAGAAGAGGGAGTTTATCTTGGGCTGAGCTGGAGGTGTCTCCAGAAGGAAGTTACCAAAGAGACCAGGACCAAGGTGCGGGTTATTGAAGCAGAGCCCTACTGGGAAACCAGGGTTGGTTTTCAAGTTCTTGTCGGTATTTTATTCCAGAACATCTGTGCTGCCAGGAGTCACATGGTGGTCAAAAGCTTAGGTGCCAAGGATGTTCCTTGTCATGAGGGCATTCACATTTGGTATCTGAAGATGTGCTTTCCCCTAGACCAAAACTCATTTTGACTTAGAGTTAGAGAAAAACACACACCACTTTTTTTTTAAGTCTATATTGAATTTGTTACAGTATTGCTTCTGTCTTATGTTTTAGTTTTTTGGCCACAAGGCATGTGGGATCTTAGCTCCCCGACCAGGGATTGAACCCGCACCCCTAGCATTGGAAGGCGAAGTCTTAACCACTGGATCACCAGGGAAGTCCCACACACAGCAGCTTTTTTTCTTTTTAATTAATTAATTTATTTTTTAGCGTCTTTATTGGAGTATAATTGCTTTACAATGGTGTCTTAGTTTCTGCTTTATAACAAAGTGACTCAGCTATACATATACATATATCCCCATATCCCCTCCCTCATGCGTCTCCCTCCCACCCTCCCCATCCCACCCCTCTAGGTGGTCACAAAGCACTGAGCTGATCTCCCTGTGCTATGCGGATGCTTCCCACTAGCTATCTGTTTTACATTTGGTAGTGTATGTATGTCCATGCCACTCTCTCACTTCGTCCCAGCTTACCCTTCCCCCTCCCCGTGTCCTCAAGTCCATTCTCTACGTCTGCGTCTTTGTTCCTGTCCAGTGGGGTGTGTGTGTGTGTGTGTGTGTGTGTGTGTGTGTGTGTGTGTGTGTGTGTGTGTGTTTTAATACACAACAGCCTTTTTGATTTTGTTGTTGCCTTGCTTGTTGTCTCTTTTAAATTTTATTTATTTTATTTATTTTTAACATCTTTATTGGAGTATAATTGCTTTACAATGGTGTGTTAGTTTCTGCTTTGTTGTCTCTTTTTAAAATGGATTTTTTATTTTGGAATAATTTTCAATTTATAGAAAAGTTGCAGAGATAACAGAGTTTTCTCATCTCCCTCTTACCAAGTTTCCCCTGTTGTTAACATCTTACAGAACCACGGTACATTTGTCAAAACGAAGGCAGCGGCATTGGTACGTTGCTATGAATTAAACTCTAGACTTTACTTAGGTTTCCTCAGTTTTCCCCGTGATGGCCTCTTTCTCTTCCAGGACCCCATCCAGGACACCACGTGTTTCATTGTCACAGCTTCTTGGCCTCCTGTGGGCTGTGACAATTCCTTAGTCTTTCCCTGTTTTTCATGACCTTGACACTTTTGAAAAGTATCGGTCAGGTATTTTGTTGAATGTCCCTCAATTCAGGTCTGTCTGATGTTTTTCTCATGTTTAGGCTGAGGTTCTGGGTTCTGGGGGAGCGTATGAGGGGAGATGCCCTTCTCATCACATCATATCACATCACATCACATCACATTATATCATATCATACCATCCCATCTACCCTATCCTATCCTATCACATCACATCACACCGTATTATATCATATCATATCATATATCATACCATATATCCTATCTTATCCTATCCTGTCCTGTCACGTCACATCGCATCATATCATTCCATGGCGTATATCCTGTCAACATGGCTCAGATTTTTTCTTTTGCTGTAAAGTACAATGAAATACAAAACTATCAGAATTTTGGCAGGTGCATTCACCTTTGTAACCCAAACCCCTATCAAAATAGAGAACATTACTATCACCCCAGAAAGGTCCCTCATGCCCTTACCAGGCCCTGCCCTTCCCCTCCCAGAGGTAACCACTATTCTGTTTTTGTTCCTACTGTGTTTTAGTTTTGTCTGTTTCAGAATTTAATACAAATGGAATTACATAATATGTTCACACAGCATATTTTTGGTGGTATATTAATTCAATTTAATCCCACACAGCAATGAAAATGCGTGAATAGACACTAAGATGACACTAAGATGAATCTTATTAGCCACGCTGAGTGAGGGAAGCCAGACTCAAAAGAATACATAGTGTCTAATACCATTTCTTTAATATTTAAAAGCAGTCAAAAATAATTTATGGAGTTACAAGTCAGGACAGCAGCTAGTATGGGCAGGAGGGAGGGAGTGATTGAGAGGGAGACCAAGGGGAGAGTCTGGTGATGTAATGTGATTTCCCTGCACTTGGGTAGAGATTATACAGGTGTGTGTAACCTTCATGATAATTCATCAAGCTATACTTTTATGATTCTTGCTTTGTTCTTGGTGTGTTACATATTATTAAACTGTTTTAAAATAAGATACTAGTTCATGCCCTTCAGTTGTTTGTGTGTATGACAGTGCCATGTGTGCTCCTTATCTATTGATGTGTAGCAGATTACCTCAAAACTTAACAACCGGTTTCCGTGGGTCATGAGTTTCACAGCATCTTAGCTGGGCAGCTCTGGGTCTTTCATGAGGTTGTATATAAGATGTTGGTTGGGGCTTAAGTCATATAAAGGCTTGACTGGGGCTGGCAGATCCACCCCCAAGGTGGTGTACTCACATGGCTGTTGTCAGGAAGCCTCAGTGTTTCTCCCATGTGGACCTCTCCGCGAAGCTGCTTGAGTGTCCTCGCATCATGGCAGCTGGCTTCCTCTAGAGCAGGTGATCCCAGAGAGCCCAGTATAATGTTTTCTAAATTAATACATGCCATTTATGTGTATCAATAGTACATTCCTTTTTATTGCTAAGTAGTATTCCATTTTACGACTAGACCATAGTTTATTTATCTGCTCTGTTAGTGATGGAGGCCTTGGTTGTTTCCAGTTTGGAGCTATCATTGATAAAGTTGGTATGAACATTCTTCTGCAAGAATTTTTATGAGCAGTTTGCTTTTCTTGGGTAAATACTAGGAGTGTCATTGTTAGGTCATAGAGTAGGTATATGTTTAGTGTTATGAGAAGTTGACAGAACCTTTCCCCAGGGTGACTGTATTGTTTTACGTTATCACAACAAAACATGAGAGTTTTAGTTGCTCCACATCCTTGTTAATATTTAGGTTTCTCATTAAAAACTTTTTTTTAGCCATTCAGGTGGGTGTGTAATGGTATCTCATTGTGATTTTAATTTGTATTTCCATGTTGACTTAATGACGTTGAGTGTTTTCTCTCATGCTTATTGGTCATTCTTTTGTGAAGTGTCTGTTCAAATCTTTTGGAGGACATCAGTGTGTGTGTGTGTGTGTGTGTGTGTGTGTGTGTGTAGTTCACACATACAGTTTTGTGTAACCAACCACCACCACAATCTATTCCAGCACCACAGAGAAACCTCCTGTGTTTCCCCTTTAGAGTCAGATTCTCCCCATAACCCTAACTCCTGGCAGCCACTGATCTGTACCTCATTACTGTAATTTAGTCACGTTGAGAATGTTATAAAATTGGAATCCTATTGTATGTAACTTTTTGAGATTGGCTTTTTTCCACTCAACACAATGCCTTGGAGATCCATCCCAGTTGTCATGTGTATCAGTGGTTCTTATTGCTGAGTAGTACCCTATTGTATGGATGTACCACAGTTTAATCTATGCCCCACTCAAGGGACATTTGGGTTGTTTCTAGTTTTTGGTGATTGCAAATAAAGTTGCTATAAACATTCAGGTATAAGTGTTTGTGTAGACAAAGGGTTTCATTTCTCTTGGGTAAATACCCAGGAGTGGAATTGCTGAGTTATAAACATAAGTGTATATTTAGCTTCATCAGACATTGTCAAACTCTTCCAGAGTGCCTGTACCATTTTTTAAATATTTCCCACCAGCAGTGAATGAGGGATCCAGTT